CACCTCGATAAACGTCTGGAACGCTGAGAAGTTATCAGGTGCCGAAACACAAACAAACAGGGAACGAACGATCGCGACCGCAAATACCCCAACCACATTTAAACGCCGATGGACGCGAAAACACTTATAGAAGGGACAACACTAATAGGGACTGCCAACCCGGCAGAAACTGAGACCTAAACACGGATGTGGCAACCGCAGCTCATACGGTTGCGGGTAGGTTCGAACGCGGCATGACGTCGAAACACGGAGAAGGCAACAGTCACTGCGGACGCGAATGACGGCCGTTGTCCTCCGGACTCCTAGACAGGCCGTACTGCGGAGGCTAACAACTGCAAACTATAAATACTGCCAGCCTCATTAGGTATGCCACCTCCGACGATGGCGTTGTAATTGACTCCGAAACGTGATCGCATTCCCTTCTTCATATGTATATTTATATGATACTAAAACCTTAATATTCATCCGCATTCGGTTACAAATTTATGGAAGTCCTACGGCAAATTACTACAAGAAGGGATATCTTACGGTACTTGTTCTGAAAATGTATTTGAATTTATAGAGGCCTCGAAAATCAGTAGGACCACGCATCCTGCTTAAGAAGGCATATTTTTACCGGGTTCTCTTTTTGTGGGCTATAGTAAGGAGAGGCAATCCAAAGCCGACAGTCTGGTATACCTGATATATGTCGGAAGTGTGCTATACGATTAAACCGAGCATAAGTTACCAGTCCACGTCCATGCTAGGCATTCTAACGAGGGGAGTTTAACTCAAAGCCCTTTTTGTAGGTAAACATCAAGAAATGGACGCACCCTAGGAATAATCACAAACACAACGTATTCCCATTTCCGGTTCTTTAATGTCCTTTATTTGAAGCATCGGTGGAAAATCAGAGAAGATCCATATAGCAAGTCACGTTATTTGTTAGGATTTTTTTCTGCGTAAAACACATAAAAGTCAACTCGTATGCTATATAAAATGCTAATAAAATAAATGCAAAAGTAAAATGAACGTAACAACGAAGGTACGATTCCGGAGAAGGCAACATTATCACTTTAATGTAGACTCTAAAACAGCGAGTAAAGCAATAAAATTAACACATCAAAAAGACAATTTTTGCATTTGCAGGTGCCACCATACTATCGTCATACTACCTTTAAAATAAACCTACTGCTTATTTTCTAGGGCAAACGAATAATTCAGTTAGCTGTCAAAAAGTAAAAATAATATTGGACGGATTCGAAAACGCGGCATTATGAGCATTGTGAGCAAGGTAGAATCAGTGGAATAGATATCCTGAATAAAAGTGCTAAAGTATCTGTGATAAAGAAAATTGACTTTGGGTAACACAGCCTAAACGTTACTCAATCCCAAAGCTCGAATTCTATGTAGGGTATCTCAGGGTGCTGGCGCGAATACCATCAGAAGCATTTTTACAATTTCATTTTTACGGGGTATTGGCAGATTTGCTTAATTTAATTGACCCAATTGTGGTAAAACTCGCGGCATCGGCGGAATTCGAACCTCGCAAAGCAGACAAGGCTTTTGCGCAGCCAACGCTCTACTAATTTAAGTCATTTTTATTAACCATAATAATAGCAAATGTACAGGTATATAGATGTAGGGTGAGCAAAACTGTAAAATGCACTACAAGACGGCTACGAAAAGGAACGTTTTCCAGTGCTCAAACTTTGGGGTGGTTTCTTCAACCAGTTTGCCCCTAAGTGGCGCAAGTTACTCCGTGCAACAGCGGTAGCGGGAAGTGACACTAAACCCCCAAGAAATAACCTGCTTACTTTTCATTCCTTTGATTTTTCCTAGACCGAGTCTGGACGAAAACGGTAATATGTTACGAAAGTCGAGCGCAAAACAATTTACGCGCATTTCATTACTGCGTCCTCAGAACAGGGGCCTTCCCAATTGATTATGTTCGACGAACCAAGATAAGGTCATCGGTGTGTAAAGGGTGACTAGGAGTTGTAACTAGCATGGTGTCAGTCTCTGAATAGGCACGCAACTAACCTAGTTTACACATAATAACCAATGCGAGAACTGAGATTTTCTTGAAGCTGGCAGCCTTAGAAACAAATTTGTGATAAGAATAAAACGCCATATCACCGACAAAAAAGAAACGCACCTCCGTGGATGGACTTAATGTGCTTTTTCATGGTCGAACGCCGGGAAAAGGCTCTTCCACAAAATAAACATGCAAACTCACGCAGACCTAGAGCAAAAATAAATATGTCAAGGACTGAAAAACGGAAACTTATTTTCTGGGCTTTTCTTGCATTTTAACTAACGGTATTAATGTTTCACACTAAAAAATCGAAAAAAAAAATTTTAAATTTACTATTAAAACAGACAAGAGCAAAAAGGAACGAACCTTTGTGGACAGCCTTGATGTGCGTTTGCAATACTGAATTCCAAGCAAAGGTTTTTCCACAAAATTCACACGAAAAATCACGCAGCTCTAAAACCAAAATAAAAACTATTTATAAATGAAAACCGAATGTTTTTTTCTCAGGGAATGTCTTGCATGGTTCACACTAAATAATCCGAAGAGCAACCGGAAATCTCTTATCAAACATTTCACTTACCCCCACCAACACCACAGAAGAAACAACATTCTGGGCCCAAAAAGTCTCAGTTTCCAGACCTGACCTGACCTAAACTACAGACGAAGCAAAACTATGGACCAAAAAGATATCCGTCGGCACACGAACAGACGAGCAACCACATAGGAAATAACGCTAGCAGCGAGCTTCAGAGCCTGAACATTCAGGCTGACAGTTCGTGTGCGTAGCCCGCTAATACCAGCTGAACCGCTGCGTATGTCCCGCACTTCGCTGTCACTTTGCTGCGTATGCACTGTGTCCGCACTGCTAGTTTCCCTCTCGTGGTTTGCCGCAGATATAGTTGGCGGCTCCAATTGTTACACGCCCTGGATGTCCTCTGACCAGATGACTCAGAAAACCAAATAAGGGACAGCAAACTGATGTGTCGGTTTTAATGAACACTCGGTGACAGCCGGGCTTCTTTAATCTGCCATGACCTTCGGTGCTTTTCTCGAGACCTCTAGGCCCGCGATGGGTTCCCCCGGTCTTCTCTCACACATTCTCCTCAGCAGAACGGTCCTATCTCGCATATCTTTCGTGAAGGTTGCAAGAGACCAATTCTAACCACCGATTCATCTGAAACGAATACAAGCTTTTCGTTATCACATGACTGTCAAATGTCAAGTAGGTGATTTCGCCGTATAAAAGTAGGTACGCATTTGCCCTCTGGAACAAACATCGAAAATGAAAAGAAGACCGTTAGTCATACGTCCCTTACGCCAGGCTTACGCTTCTGGAGAATAGAGGTGTGAGGCCAGAAATCGAGGCATTCCCTGATGTGCCCCAGTTCTTACAAACGTGTATATACTCAGAATAGTCAGTATTATAAACATTCAGCTACATTGTTATTCAGGAGTTTCAAAAAAGTAAAAGTAGGATGAGCCGCTCAAAGGTTTGTCTATAAACGACAAATTGCACGACAAAGACATGGTAGGACTTGTGCATTATGTACAAACACACTAATATTATCCAAATACTAATCCCTATTACCTCACACAGATTGGGAGTGCATACTGGGTGCGACACCTTAAAAAGCACACACAGGCAGTACTTATAGTATACTATGTACTGGCCTTAGTAAGCATGATTGCTAGGCATTAGCACTGTTAGCATAGACACATACCTATAGCAGCAGTACATTAGCCCATACCTATAATAAACGTACACAACTCGAATAAGGTTGAGAGTGCGGAAACCAAGGCAAACGCTGCTGTGCTCAGGACGCAACGTGTCATACAACAGTGGAACAACCTTCCACAATCAGTCGTGGAGGCAAACTTCCCTTCAAATGTACAAACAACGCTTGGATAATCACATGCGTCCCCTCTCCTCTCTCCAAGTCTGAACTTTAAAAACCAGACATATATTGTAAAAAACAATGCTACTCTCCTCCCTTCAAGTCTGACCTCTAAAAACCAGACATATATTGTAAAAAACAATGCTACTCAGCTATGTTAGTAGTGGTAAATTTTTATAGGTACTTGTACACGTGCTAAATAGGGTTTTTAAAGGCATTGCCTATTATCCTCACCAAATAAACTGAAACTAAACTGAAACCTACTCGAAATAGCTAAACCCAGAGTCACACTCATTGTTAAAACCAAGTGAAAATATGAGCCCAAGCGTTGGCTTAGTCAGCGTCAACTCTGACCAATGGTGGTATCAGTGCCAGCACCACCACTACTACACTTCTTACCGAGATTGAGGGGATGTGAGCCCAGTGCTTAATTTAATAAGCGTCACTTCTGACTTACAAAACATTCAGTAATAGTACCAGAAACTACCATCACTCAGCTACACCCTAGTAAGTAGTATTAGAAGTAGAAGTATAGGTAGTAGCGGCACCAGTTCTGGCTTACTAAAGCCTGGCTAGACACCTACTATAGGAGAGTGAAGGCAGATGGTGCATTTGTACCCTCGCAAAGTCAACTGTCACTAAAGGCTAAGTTACGCGATGTTTCAGGCTGCATTGGAGAAAGCGGTATCTGCCCGAAGCCTGCGTCGTTCATCTCGACTTCGATCTTGTCACTAGTGAAAGTGGTTAGGGTAAGAGTGAGGGAGACATTTACGCGCATCATTCCATTATAATCCAGTTATTGGAACTACATCACTCCTCTAGGCTTACTCGACAAGCTCATGGAGCTAGGGCGTCAGGATGTCAACACACGACTTATAGATTTAAATGTGAATACCGTCCTCCCTAGATGCTTTGTTATCGCGCGGATTCTGCAGTGCATCGGCAATTTCCTCTTTGGGAAGGAGTTTACACGACACTGCATCGGCTGGAGAGGGATAAAACTCCGCAGCGGAGGAGAAGGTGAGTGTAATGGATTGCTCACCAAATTTGAGGAAGTGCTCGAAGTGCTCACACCAGCGAGTGGTCTTGATCGACTCGTTTACATCTCCAACACAGTCACAGAGGATTGAGGGCTTACCGCTAACTTGGCAGATAATTTGGTACAGTTTTTGACACGCCATTTGTTTGGGCAGACCGCTGCGGGGTTCCTCCTTTGATCTAGTCACTGCGGCGCCGCTGAGTGAATCGAAGAATTGTCTAAGCTGCCTTATAGACAGCTACCCTCAGTGATGACCACTTGCTACTGTCTTCACCATCAGCTCGGGTCGTTAGACGGACAGAAGTTTTGCGCTAAAGACCTCCGTAGTGTTCGATTGTCGCAGGTTTACGCCATGAAGGCATCTCGCACGTGGTACTTGGGGCGCAAATAAGAGGTGAACCTTCAGGCGTGTGAGAATAAGAGCATGCTCAGAACCGTGGGTATTCCAAGTTTCGCCTGCACGCATCGATCTGCCATCGTGGACTTAACTACGGAACCCAGGATCATCTAGAACGTAGTCGACCTTATAGGCGGTATGGCCATCGTTTAATACCAGATCTGTAGACGTCTGTGACGATGAAAAAAGTATTTGTTGATGACAAACAGTCGGTTATGATCAGCAGTATGCGGCATCCGTTGTCAAACCGACTCTGTGAACTCTATCCTCACCACTAGCAATTCGACCCATTGTCCTCGTTATAAATGGCAAACGCTGGAATCTAGCACGTGGCTTGGAAGGCCTTCCACGGACGATCCAAATCGACTCAGCTGGTTGTCCTCCGGAGTGTCGGTTAATTAACTGAGTCAGATGCAATCAATTCTTCTTAGCATGGTCTATACGGCACGGCAGTCATCGCACTCTCTTCAATATCAACAGTCTGACTCGATTTTAATTATCAGTAGGTGCCCAGGTTAAATTGGTGTTTGCACGACGAAGAGTAATGTTTTAAGCGCTTCTACTTAATTCGGTCTCCAATTCAATTGAAACCCGGGAGTTAGGTGCAAGTCTGCATGAGGTACGCGCGAATATGAAGTTGGATTCGTCAGTCAGGAGGAAAGAACCCA